AACAATTCCGATTCTAAAATGGATACTGATCACGCTTTAAGTAGAATGACAACAAATTGCTTTGAAAGCACATTCTAAGTGTTCAGTTTGAAACGTTTCTTTTATCAATTCTATTATCATTTCAAATAAAACTCTCAATGAATCGTTCATCTGATGTATATAATTATCATAATGATAAACACTGCTCATAGTACATCAAGCACGAGAATGAGTGTCGTCGACATTCACCTTCTTTAAGATATGAACTAATACTCTAACAATGTTCTTGTTGCTATCATCTGCTGCGTTATCAAATTCATTGACTTTGTGCCATACAAATTGTTCAAATGTCACTAGATTAGCCATAAAAATTCGATTTGTAAGTAAAACAGCTCTCGGTCGTTTTTAATTGTCCTGCGTTATCGCTTAGCTGAACGAAAGAACATCTAATCTTCCCAGCAGAATCCATTCATTGTCTTCAAACAATTTTACCCGTGATATTCATTTGGTGATAAGTTCAGAGGCATCGCTCGGTTCACATGTATTCAGTGAGTATAGAATTAAAAATTTATCAAATTCAAATGTTCAAATTCAATTCATCGTCAAAAACTGAAAAAAATCGGTGGGGTGATAATTTTTGACTGTTATCCTTATCTTTTCATCAAAAATTTGGCACTATGTTTCCGCATTTTTATCCATCGTTGAATTTCTTTTTGCTCAACCATTCACTAATCTCCACCTTGGGTGGCAATTGAGATCGAATGTAAAACAGAAATTTATTCGTTGTAAATTCCTCTTTGGAAGGATTCAAATTGATTTAGATATTCGTTGATTTAGATATTGATATTCGTTGAAATCTGGATCCTCTGATCAGGTGTGATCATAAATGATCAAATGTGATCATTTATGCTAAAGACAAGAGTGCTGTTGCATGTTGAATAACTGAAGTGACCCAACGAGTCAAATCAGTCGATGATTTGTTGGAGATAAAGCAAAAGTTATCCTCATAACGAGGATCATGCGAAGTTGAAAGTATATTCGAATTCATAAGGATTATTAAACGTTTTTTTGGAAAATTTGATTGTGAACTCATCAGTAGAAGGGATTTCGATGATAATTTTACTTTAAGATCAATTATGATAAATCTTACTTATGCATGAGTAAGAGTGTCAACCTTGAAGTGCACTTAACTTATTCGAAATATTGCATCATTCTGCAAAACGCACACGCTTGCCAACAAACACTCTCAACCAGGCTCTGGCATGGCTAAAAGATTCACTCAGTTCACCAAAATTTCCATTTGATCATCATGAATGAGCTCTCCTAATAATAAGATGTCTCATGCCAGTTCCTATTTTTTCCAAAGTTCACCCAATTGTCAGCTCTGAACACCTCATGAGTTCCAGAGGAATTTAGAGTATGGATATGATATGGTGTGTGGTATGATATGGTAGACATCATGTAAATCTCATCGAAAACTTCATCAAATTTTATTTCTGCAGAAGTTCCTCGATTGTACAATTTTACGATTACAGTGGACAACTTTGTAACGTTGATCTCAGAACTGTACTCTATTCATACTCCAGTCAATGTTCTCTTAAAGTTGTTATCCTAGATGTAGTTTTATGAAAGTGAATGGATATTTGATAAAGTTCAAAGGTTTTAACTCTGAACAAATACAGTCACTTCTACTTAATATTATGTTAAATGTTATCGAAATATCTTTTTGTTACAGTCAAAAAACGTAATAAAGATGTGCTGTCATTCGTAATTTGTCACTGTAATGATCATTTTCTATGATGAAAACGAAGTTCTAACAAATTAGCATAATTTCCGCAAAAAGTTTTTAATGTTTACAAGCGCAGCACAGTTTTAATTCTTTCTGATTTTTGTGTTTTTGTTGTGTGCGATTGACGCTCATTTTGTTGACGTTCATCGCTGAAGATAACGAAGGGAATCCGCTTTAGTGGTTTCCAGCACAACAACACTCACAGAAGCGAACAGTCAAAAAATTCATTCGACTGATAAGCACCGAGATCACTACAAAACAAGTGAACAGCAATCCAAGGTATTGCTGATTATGAGTTTGATTTTGTGATGCAAAAAGTGATGCGTATTGCATATCGAATGTTGTTTGTTGTAAAATCTGACGATTCCTTAGAATTTGATTGACTGATTGTTCATTACAGAACGTTCTTTGCTCTTAGAATATGATGCGATTACGTTAAACTAACGAGATTAAAATTCATTTTTCTGGACGGTGTTAAGAGCACATTCATTGACGGTTTTTTGCAAAAAAATGATTGTGATTTGTCGTATCAGCAAAATTGTTTGCTTCATCGCCCAAACCGACAGTGGTGTGACTTATCATTTTTGTTATCACTTTGATTAAACTGATCACACACCGATCACATTCTGTGGATTATAGAGATCAACAACATGAAATTGATCAGGTCTAGTTTTTAATTTAAGGAAGGTCTTAACGATCACAAGTCTTCCGACATAGCTCACTGCTCCTTATCACATACAATTGCGTCACAAACACAAAAATCACGTATGCTCATCATCGATGACACTCACAATTACTACGATCCCAACTCCTGACGATTTCACCATAAATTTGTGATGCTTTCGAGCCGTGAATTTTATACAGTGCATGTTCAGTTGCAAATATGCTTCCGTACTCTTTTCCCCAGTCTTCCTCCTAATTCTTATTCAATCATTCACCCCGATTTGAACTTCAGTCTCAGTTTCTTCACAAATATCAAACATATCGACAACATCTTGTATTCTCGAAATGTTTGCGCTGATTTATCGGGCAATTCAAACTGAATACGAGTTAGTTCTCGCAGATCTTGAGTAGAAATTGCGGAGAATTGAGCTGAAAATCGCCTACAAAACAACAAACTCCATCCATTTTGATCTCACATCAGTCAACGTGCAGAATGCACTCAC